GGGGTAGTCCCCATATAACCCCCTTTTTTATACCCTCCACCATAGTATGGAGGGTATATTAATTTTGTCATTCCGTTTGTAACTCATCGAAATATTCATTTCCGACCCTATAAAGTATATATATTCTTGATCAGGGTAAAATTCTAAGACGATCTAGCCATGTCCGTCCGTCCGTCCGTCCGTCTGTCCGTCCGTCCGTCCGTCCGTCTGTTGTAATCACGCTATCTTCTGAAGGAATTGAGATAGGATGCTGAAATTTTGCATAGGGTTGTCTTTTGTCTGCAGGCAGGTCAAGTTCGAAGATAGGATATATCGGTCCACGTTTAGACATAGCTCCCATATAACAGTACCCCCCAATTTTCGGTATTTTGAGGTTCTTGGGCGCGTTTTTTAACCGAATACGCTGAAATTTGGTACATTGGGTTCTTATTGGATACTTAATGTCCCCACAAAAAATTATAAATATAGGTCCACTTTTTCTGGTAGCCCCCATATAACGGTACCTCCTAATTTTCAGTATTTTGGGGGTTTTGATTGTATTTTTCCATCGAATTGGCTATAATTTAGTATTTCGAGTTCTTAATATGTACCAAATCTCTCCACAAAAAATTATAAACATATGTGAATTTTTTCGGATATCCCCCATATAAGGGTACCCCCCAATTTTCGGAATTTTGGGGTTCTTGAGCGCGTTTTTCAACCGAATACGCTGAAATTTGGTACATTGGGTTCCTAATAGGTTCCAAATCTCTCCACCAAAAATTATGAATATTGGTCCATTTTTTCGGATAGCCCCCATATAAGGGTACCCCCAATTTTCGGTATTTGGGGGTTCTTGAGCGCATTTTTCAACCGAATTTGCTGCAATTTGGTAATTTGTAGTCGTATATGGTAACAAATCTCTCTACCAAAAATTTTTAATATTCACCCCCTTTTTGGGGTAGTCCCCATATAACCCCCTTTTTATACCCTCCACCATAGTATGGAGGGTATATTAGTTTTGTTTTTCCGTTTGTAACGCATCGAAATAATCATTTCCGACCCTATAAAGTATATATATTCTTGATCAGCGTAAAATTTTATGACGATTTAGCCATGTCCGTCTGTCCGTCTGTCTGTCTGTTGTAATCACTCTAGCGTCTAAACGAATTGAGATAGAGCCTCAAAATTTAGCATAGAGTCGTCTTTTGTCTGCAGGCAGGTCAAGTTCGAAGATGGGCTATATCGGTCCACGTTTAGGTATAGCTCCCATATAAGGGTACCCCCCAAATTTCGGTATTTTGGGGTTCTTGAGCGTGTTTTTCAACCGAATTCGCTGAAATTTGGTACTTTGAGTTCTTATTGGGTAGCAAATCTCCCCACTAAAAATTATAAATATAGGTCCATTTTTTCGGACAGCCCCCATATAAGGGTACCACCAATTTTCTGTATTTTGAGGTTCTTGGGCACGTTTTTCAGCCAAATTCGCTGAAATTTGGTATTTTGAGTTCTTAATGGATACCAAATCTCCCTACTAAAAATTATAAATATAGGTCAATTTTTTTTGGTACCCCCCATATAACAGTACCCCTCAATTTTCGGTATTTTGGGTTTCTTGAGCGCGTTTTTCAACCGAATTCGCTGAAATTTGCTACATTGGGTTCTTATTGGGTACTAAATGTCTCCACAAAAAATTATAAATATAGGTCCACTTTTTCTGGTAGCCCCCATATAACGGCATCTCCTAATTTTCAATATTTTGGGGATTTTGATCGTATTTTTCCGCCGAATTAGCTGTAATTTAGTATTTTGAGTTCTTAATAGGTCCCAAATCTCTCCACAAAAAATTATGAATATAGGTCCACTTTTTCGGATAGCCCCCATATAAAGGTACCCCCATTTTGGGGTAGACCTCATATAACCCCCTTTTTTATATTAAAATAGTTATCTGATTTGTTACGCGTTTTAATGTTGGTTCTAAGACTCTGTTGTAATCATTTCACCTGCGGAGGATAGCGAGATAAAAAATTAGAACGTAAGGTTCGATAATGAACTACAGCCGCATTTAGACCTAGCCCCTGTGTGGAGGTACCAGAAGAAGTGGACCGATATTCCCCATCTTCGAATTTGAACTAAGTTTGGAAGAAATAAAAAGATGTGCGAGGTTTGAATGAAATTCAACTTTACTGAAACGGAGTTGGTCCAAAGAAACATGGGGTCTAGAACCAATATTTCGATGAGGCACATTTTCATTGTGTTAAAGTGTATACACCGTCATTAGCTGTAAGGCTGGAGGTATAATTATCCATTAAAATTTTCTGAAATTTGTATTGTTGTTTACATTATCGTTTACATAATCCGTTTTTAGAAATGTCGGTATAGGTCCACTTTTTGACATGTTCCCTATATTTTCATTTCTAGTACCTGCCCGTATATCTATGGTGGAGGGTATCCAAAGTTCGGCCCGGCCGAACTTAACGCTTTTTCACTTGTTTGTTTTGTTTTTGAACAACAAAAAAACCTAGGTTACCAATTTATTGACACCTAGTTTAGAAAATACACCTAGAACCATGAAAAGACCTTAAATGAGGAAGTTTTTCAACTCCCAATTACCGAAACCCCAATTACACTCACATCGGTTAGGAAATGAAGATACATAAAATGAAGCGGGTTCTTATGGGTGTAATATATTACAACATAGCCCAATATGGAAAATTTTCTGCCAAGAGATCCTTTATATACCTATAGGCAAATTAATGGAAAATGAGGCAAGAATCATACAAGTAAGTTCAATGATGCGCGATCTTTATGGGGAGTATGTCAAAAAATTTTCTTATAAAGTTAATCCTCCTTAAAAAACTAAAGGTCCATGGAAACACATTCTTGCAAATCAACACTTGTGTCAGTCCTTAAAAAAAATCTTTAAAAACTTAAAAAATATTTTTTATATATTGGTCTGGAGAAAAATCCTTTAAAAAAATTGCCACTGGGTTGGGTCCATGAAAAAATATTCTTTAAAAAAGCAAGCATTGTGTTGGTCCATAAAAAAATATTTTTTTAAAAATCCACACCTTATGTTCGTCCTTGAATTTTTTTCTTAAATCTACGTTTTAAACCCTTGACAAAAAATATTTTTCAAATATGCAAGCATTTTTAGACCCTTGAAAAATATTTTTAAATCAGTGAGGGGAGCAGTATAGTCGGACTGGGCCGACCATATGATACCCTACACAACTTCCACGAAAATCTACCTATCTGTGGTTCTATATTCTGAGCATGGACCATATTTCGCGATATTTGTACCCTCTTGATCGACTAGAGGTAAACAAATATAACTAATATTCAGTACAGCCCTTCCAAATTCTTGCCCAGATTCCCTTCATCGTAAGTTGTACTGTGATGTTCGTCTTCCAATTGTAGCCCATAGATCGACTAGAAAAAACACAAAAAATTAAGTTTTTACACCACTCCACGCCTTTGGGCGACCATAAAATCAGACAAAAATAAAGTTTTTGGTCCATTTCATCCCCTAAATATTAACCCATCTTTACCGAAAACAATAGGGATCTTCATTTGCCAGAACCCACCCTACATGCAAAATTCCGTGAAGACTGGTCCATAACTGTGGCCTGTATCGTGTTTACAAATTATAATGGACAGACGGACGGACACACATTTCTACATGGACTCAGCTAGTCCATATATGATCGGTATATTTTGAGGGTGGGTCTAGGACAAAATAATACCCTGACAACATAGTTGTGTAGGGTATACAAATCAACAATTACAAAAATCCACGCCTTGTGTTGGTCCATGAACAAATCATCGTTAAAAAGTCCACGCCTTGTGTTGGTCCATGAAAAAATATTCTTTAAAAAGTCCACGCCTTGTGGTGGTCCTTGAAAAAAAAAACGTATGTAAAAAGTCCACGCCTTGTGGTGGTCTTTAAAAATTATCTTTAAAAAGTCCACGCCTTGTGGTGGTCTTCAAAAAATCATATTTAAAAAGTCCACGCCTTGTGGTGGTCCTTGAAAAAATCATTTTTCAAAAAATCCGAGCCTTGAAAAAAAGACATCTTTAAAAAATCCAAGCCTGGAAAAATATTCTTTAAAAATCCACGCCTTGTTCTGGTCCTTCAAATATATTCTTTAACTATCTCTTTTAAAAATCCACGCCTTGTGGTGATCCATGTAAAAATCTTCTTAAAAAATCCACGCCTTGTATTGGTCCTTGAAGAAGTCTTCTTTAAAAAATCCACGTCTTGCGGATTTCACCCCCGAAATGAAATCCTGTGTACGTTGTTGCAGGGAGTATACCAAAACGTCGACCTATATTGGTAATTTTTAGTAGGAGGAATTGCCACCCAATTCGTTTGAAAAACGTATTTGAAAATATCAAAATAACGAATATTGCGCTCACCATTATATGAGGGTTAAACGAAAACGGGAACCGATATATTTCATTTGCGACTCCCAACATATAAAGAGTGTATATGTGCAACATTTCAAAGCTCTATCATAAATATTTATCGTAATCTCAACAAACGGACATGGCTAAATTGACGTAAAAATGTATTCTGGGTTCTCCGGTGAAAGGAACAACACATTTAGTATAAACACTACCTTTTGTTAGAGGTTATAAAAATCCACGTCAACAAATCTGATAGACCTTTAGAAAATAGATCAATGTGCTAATTGTTTAATGAATCCTTTATAGCGTTTTTAATTGATTGTCTGTTTTGTGGTCAGTTATTTTCCATAACATCGTCACAACCTCTTAACATACTTCTTTAGGCACAAGAAAATTCTGACCTCAGTGCATTACGTGGGAATTACAGCATATGTTGGGAAATGGTTGGTCTATCTTTTAAAGCATGAACAGCTGAAACATGACCTATGAAACTACCACTGATTGTAAATTGAAAATGTCTTTATGAAATTCATAGTTCAGTTTATTTGTGACGGCTCGTGAAATACATCGCTCGGTTGGTGATTTTAACGTTTGAAAATTTTACATACAAAATGGTGAATATTACAAATCCGTTATATCTATTATCGCCAGATAATCCGGTGTTTGGCTGCTATTGCTTTTGGGCTGGTCTATTGGTATTAAAAATGCTATTGATGACTCTATTGACGGCTGCACGACGTTTCAGCAAAGAGGTAAAATAAAAAGGGGCAAATTGTATTCTTAAAATCCAGATATATAGGGACTTTGGTGCACCAATTACCTAAAGTCGGGCGAAACTCTACATGGGGGCTATATCTAAATCTCGAATTGCACATCACATTTTGGTGTAGGAGAGTATTAGCAATATCTGTGCAAAATTGCAGAACTCTATCTTAAATATATGGTGATTTAAACAGACGGGCATATGTAAATCGACATGTGGGACCGGGCCGAACTTTGGATACCATAGATGTACTGGCAGGTACTTGAAATGAAAATATAGGGAAAAAGTTACGAAACAATTAACCAAACTTTACCCATCTTGTTATTACCTCCAAACTTAGTTCAAGTTCGGAGATGGGGAATATTGATCCACTCCTTCTGGTACCTTCCACACAAGGGCTAGGCCTAAATGTGGGTTATAATTCATATATAGATCATTATCGAACCTTACGTTCTGGTTTTTTATCTCGATTTTCTCCGCAGGTGAAATGATAACAACAGAGTCTTTGAACCAAATCCAAAACGCGGAACAAATCACGTAACTATTTTAATATAAACCAGTAAGGAAAGTACAAAAATCGAAAGGGGCCGACTATATGATACCCTTCACCACCATAGTATGGTGCACCATAAACATAAAATCTGAGGAAACTATATATAGGAGCTATATTTAAATCTGAACCGATTTCAAAAAAAATTAGGCATGTATCAATCTAGACCTAATTTAGTAATCTGTGCAAAATTCTGTTCCATCGGACAAATATTGGGAGTTTTGTGCATCGTTTACCTAAAATCGGACGAAACTATATATGGAACCAAAATCTGAACCGATTTCAACAAAACTTCGCATACATCAATCTGGGTCTAATTCAATACTCTGTGCAAAATGTTGTCTCAATCGGACAAATATTGGCAGTATGGTGCTCCGTTTACATAAAATCGAACGAAATTATAAATGGGAGCTATATCTAAATCTGAACCGATTTTCTCCAATTTCAATAGGGTTCGTCCTTGGGCCAAATAAGTGACATGTACCAAATTTCATCCAAATCGGAGTGAATGCGACCTGTACTTTGTTCAAAAAAAATACATGGATGGACGGACATGCGGAAATAGACTCAGAAAGTGATTTTGATTCCTTTTGCCTGTTACAAACATATGCACAAACACACACACCACAATGTGGTGAAGGGTATAAAAAGGGGGTTATATGGGGACTACCCCAAAAAGGGGCGAATATTGATAACTGTTGCTAGGGAGATTTAAAAAACGCGCTCAGGGACGCCAAAATACCGAAAATTGGGTTGTATCCTTATATGGGAGCTATGCATAAACGTGGACCGATATAACCCATCTTCGAACTTGACCTGCCTGCAGACAAAAGACGACTCTATGCAAAATTTTTGCTATCTATCTAATTTCGTTTTGAGGCTAGAGTGATTAAAAGAGACAGACGGCCATGGCTATATCATCATAGAATTTTACGCTGATCAAGAATATATATACTTTATGTGGTCTGAAATGATTATTTCGACGAATTAAAAAAACAAAATTAATATACCCTCCTTACTATGGTAGAGGGTATAAAAATGGGGCGGAATCATGAAGCAGGGAATCCTTAAAGATCAGCTGAAGCTATTAATCCATATAGACGAGCAGAAGTTTCTGTAGATGAGCTGAAGTCTCTATCGACGAGCTGAAGTCTCTATAGACGAGCTGAAGTCTCTATAGACGAGCTGAAATCTCTATAGACGAGCTGAAGGTCAGGAAGCTTCTATGGACGAGCTGTAAGTCTCCATAGACCATATGAAGCTGTGAATCTCTATAAATAGGATGAAGCAGGGGATCTCGACGATGAACTGTAGGTCAGGGACTCCCTATAAACGATCTGAGCGTAGTCTTTATAGACTAGCTGAAGAGCGGAAATATAAAGGGAGACTTTATAGACCAGCAGAAGCAGAGAATCTTATAGACGAGCTAAAATGAGACTTTATAAACAACAGAAATAGGGAGTATTTATAGACGAGTCGAAAGACGCCTTTATAGACGAGCTGAAGCGATTCTCTATTGACGAGCTGAAGAGAGTCTCTACGGATGAGTTGAAGGGAGTCTATTTAGACGTGCTGGAGAAAGTCTTTACGAGTTGGATAAGCCTCTTTAGAAGAAATGAGGAAGATTGAGGAATCACTTCAGACGAGTTGGAGCTTAGGGAAATTTTACAGACGAGCCACACTTTCGACGAAGCATTGCCGAGGTTGTCTACTGTGCTCCTAGCAAGATTTGGATTTTGATTTTTTCCACTGCCAATCCACAATGATGTTCATACACATTTACCAATAAGAAAAACTATTTTTATACCCTTCACCACACTATGGTACAGGGTATTATGTCTTTGTGCATATGTTTGTAACAGACAAAAGGAAACGAGATAGACACATGGTTCCTTTTGAGAATATGCATATAATCACTTTTTAAGCCGATTTATGCATGTCCGTCCGTCCGTCTGTTGGTGTTAAATTGTAAACAAAGTACAGGTCGCATTTATGATCCGAATTGGATGAAATTTGGCATAGGTCACTTATTCGGCTCAAGGACGAACCCCTATTGAAATTGGGAAAAAATCGGTTCAGATTTAGATATAGCTCCCATATATATATTTAACCGATTTAATGTAAACGGTCCCTATATATCTTTCGATTTGCACGAAATTTGGTACAGGCTAATCATTTAGGTCTGGAATGATGTCTGCCAAGTTTCATGAAAATCGGTCCAGATTTAGATATAGCTCCCATATATAGTTTCGTCCGATTTCATGTAAATGGTGCCCCAAAGTCCCTATATATATTTTGATTTGCACGAAATTCGGCACAACGTACTGAACTAAGCCTAGATTGATGTCTGCCAAGTTTCGAGAAAATCGGTCCAGATTTAGATATAGCTCCCATATATAGTTTCGTCCGATTTCATGTAAATGGTGCCCCAAAGTCCCTATATATATTTTGATTTGCACGAAATTCGGCACAACGTACTGAACTAAGCCTAGATTGATGTCTGCCAAGTTTCGAGAAAATCGGACCAGATTTAGATATAGCTCCCATATATAGTTTCGTCCGATTTCATGTAAATTGTGCACCAAAGTCCCTATATATCCTTCGATTTGCACGAAATTTGGTACAGCCTAATCATTTAGGTCTAGATTGATGTCTGCCAAGTTTCGTGAAAATCGGTCCAGATATAGATATAGCTCCCATATATAGTTTCGTCCGATTTCATGTAAATGGTGCCCCAAAGTCCCTATATACCTTTTGATTTGCACGAAATTCGGCACAACGTACTGAACTAAGCCTAGATTGATGTCTGCCAAGTTTCGAGAAAATCGGTCCAGATTTAGATATAGCTCCCATATATAGTTTCGTCCGATTTCATGTAAATGGTGCCCCAAAGTCCCTATATATCTTTCGATTTGCACGAAATTTGGCATAACGTACTGAATTGAGCCTAGAGTGGTGTCTGACAAGTTTCGAGAAAATCGGTCCAGATTTAGCTCCCATATATAGTTTTGTCCGATTTCATGTATATGGTGCCCCAAAGTCCCTATATATCTTTCGATTTGTACGATATTTGGTACAGCCTAATCATTTAGGTCTAGAATGATGTCTGCCAAGTTTCGAGAAAATCGGTCCAGATTAAGATATAGCTCCCATATATAGTTTCGTCCGATTTCATGTAAATGGTGCCCCAAAGTCCCTATATATCTTTCGATTTGCACGAAATTTGGCATAACGTACTGAATTGAGCCTAGAGTGATGTCTGCCAAGTTTCGAGAAAATCGGTCCAGATTTCTAAATAGCTCCCACATATATAGCTCACATATTTTAAGTAATTGACGCAACAAGGAACCAATAGGAACAAAACGTTCTGAAATTAGTATAACCTAACCTGTGACAAGTTTGCTTGAAATCGCTTAATATTTGGATAGAGCTTCCACATATATTTTCGCCCGATTTCAAATAAATTGGACATCAAACTCCTCATGTTAGTCAGATTGACATCAAATTTCGCACAACGTACAAAATTGACCATAGAACTACGTAGTTGCGTTTTCTAGAAGTGCAGACATAGCCCAACGTATGACCTATTTATATTTGTTTGAAGTCGATTTACATACTTTATGGAAATATCCAGGTAGATTCACATTATCACATATATTATTTCATCCAATTTCATGTTAATAGTCCTGTTTAATATACCCATAGTGGTGAAGGGTATCATATAGTCGGCCCCGTCCGACTTTACTACTTTCCTTACTGGTTTTTTCTCTCTCTCTTTTAGTCCTTTGTCAATCCTGAAGATTTGGCTCTAAGCAAAGCAACTGAAGTTTCATTTCAGGATCCAGATGTAGAACGTGTTCGAAGGTAATTTCTACAAACACACAAACTTTTCATATTTACACCTCATTCTTATTTCTGTTGTAATTTTTCATTTTGCATATTACCATCACAATAACATCGATGATGACGACGACCACAACAACAGAGCCCATCGCAATGATTTGGAAAATATTCTACCCTATTTGTTGATTGCCTTGGCCTACATAACCACCGGACCGAATGTCATAGTGGCACGTTTACTATTTTGCATAGTTGCCATATCGCGTATTTTCCATACAGCGATTTATGCCTTTCGACCTGTGCCCCAGCCATCGCGGGCAATTGCTTTCTTTGTCCCCTTCACGATTACCCTGTACATGACGTTTTGCGTGATTGTAACGATGGCCAAGTACGTCTAGAAGCGATGCTAATGAAATGGAATTTTTTCGGATTTATTATTCGATGTTATTTGTGTATATTTACAAATTAAATAAAAAATGCAAAAATTAATAAATTGTTTATTTTTATTTATTTAAATAATTTGTGTTATAATGGAATATTTTGGGGAAATTAAAAAAAGAAAAAAACAAAATATTTTAATGGCACATTCGAATATCGTCAAATCATGAATGAACTGGAAATATGGGTCTAGCTGTTGAGAGATTATTTTACCCGTAACCCTAGGAGGATAAGAACATTCGACATTGAAACTGTTCCTTGTTTATAATTATGGGGAAACTTAACTGGTAAATTTCCGTTGTCACCATTTCATCATTTATATCGGTATTTGTTGTTGTAATTTTCCTCACCAGCTACTTCAATGTATATCGTTGCTGCACTTTAACCATAGTGCAATATAATTCCTACTGTGCGGTCAAAGTATTGTTACACGAACACTCGAAGAAGATAAATGTGGTTACTGATCGAATATAAGCCAACCGATTCCAAAGTTCAAACTCATCTATACCCTATGCGTACGTACTTACGTACAAATATAGCGTTGACTCACAGATCATTGGCAGCAATTTGTGAAGGAAAACAAAAATCGAATCTTTGTAAAAAAATAAAGGGTAACTGGTATCGGATGATAGATTTGTTTTCTTAAAGTTGAATAAAAATAATATTTTCAAGGGCAATAGAAGGTCAAGAATTCTTTGTTATGGTGTGAAGGGGTGGGAGTCTTCATAGATGACATGAAGGCTCGAGATTCTTTATAGAGGGGGTGAAGGTAGAGTAAACTTAAAGGAAAATTTAAATTCCGGAATTTTTTAGACGAGGCGCAGGACAGGTTGTATTTACAGAAGGTCAGGAAAGATTCAAACTGTTGGGAGTCTCTTTAGACGAATTGAAGGCATTATTTTTGATGAGCTGAAGTAGGAATGTTTATAAAGTTGAAGGGGTTTTCTATAGACGAGCTGAAGGGAGACTCTATAGACAAGCTGAGGGGAGGCCCTGAAAGTAGGATCTATAGTGGATCTGAAAGGAGTCTATGTAGACGAATTAAAGGGAGTCTCTGTGGACGAACTGAAAGGAGTCTCTATAGACAAGCTGAAGGGAAGCCTGCAGTCGAGCTGAAGATCAGTGAGTCTCTATGGACGAATTGAAGGCGAGTCCCTTAAAACGAGCTGAAAGTCAGGGAGTTTCTATATACGTAGTAGACGAGGTGAAGGGAGCTGAAGGAAGTCTCTGTAGACGAGCTTAAGGTTAGGGGATCTTGATATTCGAGCTAAAGGGTTTCCATAGATCAGCTGAAGTGGGTTTGCATTGAGGAGATAAAGGAAGTCTCAATAGATGATCTGAAAAGAGTATCCATAGACGAGCTGAAGGATGTTTTCTTGCATCTGCTGAAGTGAGTTTGCATTAAGTAGATGAAGAAGTTAGTCTCTGTGGAGAATCTGAGAGATGTCTCTACAGACAAGCTGATGGACAGGAGTCTCTATATACGAGCTGAAAGTTCGGGAGTCTCTATATTCGAGCGCAAGGACAGGAAGTCTCTATAGAGGGGCTTAAGGGCAGGGAGACTCTAATTAATACAGGACGTGAAAGAAGATGGACTTTATAGCTAAGCTGAGAGTTGAGACGTTCAGCTCGTTTATATAGTCTTTATAGACGAGCTGAAGATGTGGAAGTTTTTATAGACGAGTTGAAATCAGGGAGTCTCTATGGACGAGTTGAAGGCCAGTAAATCCCATCAGACGAGCTGAAGGTCAGGGAGTTTCTATTGACGAGCTGAAGGCTAATAAGTCCCCTTCGACGAGTTGCAAATCAGGGAGTCTTTATTGACGAGCTGAAGATTGGGAGTCTCAAAAGACTGGCTTAAGTTTCCATGTAGACGAGCTTAAGCAAGAATTCAATACGAACTAGCTGAAATAGAGAGTCACTATAGCAGCTCTAAAACTGGCAGTCTATTATACCACACTGTGGTAAAGAGTATTATGTCTTTGTACATATGTTTGTAACAGGCAAAGGAAACGAGATCGACACATGGTTCCTTTTGAGAATATGCATAGAATCACTTTCTGAGTCGATTTATACATGTCCGTCCGTCTTTTCATGTTAAAAGCACGGATCGCATCTATATCCGAATTCGATGGCTTGATTTGGCACAGCTCATTTATTTGACCCAAGAACGAACTCTATTGAAATTGGGAAAATCGTTTCAGATTAAGATAAGTTTCGTTAAGTTTCGTGAAAATCGGTTCAGATTTAAATGTAGCTCCCATTTATACTTTCTTCTAATTTAATTTAAATGATACACCAAGCCCCTATCAAACAGCCGCTATATCTTTCTTTTTACACGAAATTTGGCATAGCTTACTGAATTAAATCTAGAATGATGCATGCTAAGTTTCGTGAAAATCGGTTAATATTTATATACAGCGCTCATATATATTTTCGTCCGATTTTATGTAAATATTGTACCAAAGCCCCTACATTTCATTCGATTTACACGAAATTTGGTATATCGTACTGAATTAAGTCCAGAATGATGTGTGTTAAGTTTCGTGAAAATCGGTTCAGATGATATGGGAGCTATATCTTCCATATATATTTTAGTTCGATTTTATATAAATGGTGTTTTAAACTCCCTATACATCCTTCGAATTGCACGAAATTTGTGCATAGCGTACTGAATTAAATCTAGAATGGTGTGTAATAAGTTTCGTGAAAATCGGTGTAGATTTGGATATTGCTCCCATATATATGTTCCTCCGATTTTAGATAAATGGTGCAACAAACGATAAAGATCGCATATTTCAGTTCGTTCAATTACATGTCAATGTTCCTTCGAAAAGGCGATGTCTGTTAGGATACATATGTAGAATATACCCAAAGTGGTGAAGGGTATCATATAGTCGGACCAGCCCGAATTTACTACTTTCCTTACTGTTTTTATTTGAACAGAGACCCAGGTTGTGATGAAATGAATGCAAGAGAATCTTTACAGACGAGCTGAGGGCCATCTTCATAGATGAGCTGAAAGCCATAATCTTTGCGAGTTGTGCAAAAGAACTAGGATTTTTATAGCCGAACTGGAGAGTTAAGTTAGAAGGCAAATATATTATTAATGAACTTGTTGATTAGGCAAATGACTATAAGTTTACCGATAGAATTCCCGTCACCTAGAAATTATGCGCCTGTCATACAGCTTCCATTTTCGTACAGCAAATATTTTAACTTCTGCAAAAAAAAAAACCAGTAAGGAAAGTAGTAAAGTCGGACGGGGCCGACTATATGATACCCTTCACCACTTTGAGTATATTCAACAGATGAATCCTAACAGAAGTCGCATTTTTAAAGGACCAGTAAAATGAAATTGGAACCATAAACACGTCATTCTGCAACCGATACTAAATTGTTCATTTGGTCAGATATAGAAGCTATATCTAAATCTGAACCGATTTCAGGAAACTTAACACACATCATTCTAGACCTAATTTGCTACGCTGTGCCAAATTTCGAGCAAATCGAAAGATATATAGGGACTTTGGTGCACCATTTACATTAAATCTGACGAAAGTATATATGGGAGCTATATATAAATCTGAACCGATTTTCAGGCAACTTTACACACATCATTCTAGACCTAATTTGCTACGCTGTGCCAAATTTCGAGCTTAAATCGACTCAAAAAGTGATTCTATGCATATTCTCAAAAGGAGCCATGGGTCTATCTCGATTATTTTTGCATGTTACAAACATATGCACAAAACCAGTAAGGAAAGTAGTAAAGTCGGACGGGGCCGACTATATGATACCCTTAACCGCTATGGGTATATTAAACTGGACTATTAGCATGAAATTGGATGAAATAAAATATGTGATATTTATCTAAATGTTAATCTACGTAGATCTATCCATAAAGTATGTAAATCGACTTCAAACAAATATAAATGGGTCATCCGTTGGGCTATGTCTGTACTTCTAGAAAACGCAACTACATAATTCTATGCTCAATTTTGTACGTTGTGCAAAATTTGATGTCAAACTGACTAACATGAGGAGTTTGATGCCCAATTTACTTGAAATCGGGCGAAAATATATATGGAAGCTCTATCCAAATATTAAGCGATTTCAAACAAACTTGTGACAGAAGGTTAGACTAATTTCAGAACGTTTTGTTCTTATTGGTTCTTGGTGCGTCAATTACTTAAAATCAATCTATAATAAAAAGGAGCTATATCTAAATCTGGACCGATTTTCACGAAACAACGCAGACATCACTCTAGGCTCAATTCAGTACGTTATGCCAAATTTTGTGCAAAACGAAAGATATATAGGGACTTTGGTGCAACATTTACATGAAATCGGACGAAACTATATGTGGGAGCTATATAGAAATCTGGACCGATTTTCACGAAACTTGGCAGACATCATTCTAGACTCAATTCAGTACGTTATGCCAAATTTCGGGCAAATCGAAGGATATATATGGACTTTGGTGCACCATTTACATGAAATCGGACGAAACTATATATGGGAGCTATATGTAAATCTTGACCTATTTTCACGAAACTTGGCAGACATCATTCTAGGCCTAAATGATTAGGCTGTACCAAATTTCGTGCAAATCAAAAGATATATAGGGACTTTGGACACCATTTACATGAAATCGGACGAAACTATATATGGAAGATATATCTAAATCAGGACCGATTTTCATGAAACTTGGCAGACATCATTCTGGGCTCAATTAAGTACGTTATGCCACATTTCGTGCACCTCGAAGGATATATAGGGACTTTGGTGCACCATTTACATGTAATCGGACGAAACTATATATGGGACCTATATCTAAATCTGGACCGATTTTCTCGAAACTTGGCAGACATCATTCTGGGCTCAATTAAGTACGTTATGCCAAATTTCGTGCAAATCGAAGGATATATATGGACTTTGGTGCACCATTTACATGTAA